ACAGAGGGGAGGGTGGTGGTGGTTTTTGAGGAACTTGCTCCGAGTCTGAGCTGCTATTGACAAAAACACTATAAAAGTTCGAGCGTTTCGGTGGGAATTACTTTTTTTCTTTTCTTTTTAATTGTTTTTTTTTTCTTATATAATTACAAACGATATTAAAAAAGAGAATTCGAAAATGAAAATAGAAACTCGGGTGCAGAAATATCAACTACATGTCTTTTGCGAGTTTTTATACCATAACTTCGAGTTTGTGAGCTAATAATTAATATTTTGACCTATAAGCTTCTTGATTATGCATACTTAGTGCCTTTCCATGAACATGTTAATGTTGTTGGGTTGACATGAACTTTAAAAAATAGAAGTTTATAAGGTCGAGTGGGGTTATCACAGTGGTTGTGGCCTTCCCCTTTCCCCTTGTTTGGCACTCAGGATTGAAATTCCGGAATTTCTTTCCTCTTACACGATTTTAAGAATCTTTTTACAAAAAAAATAAAATGGTGGATTACTATCATTTATCATCAACAATTTTTGGTTCAATGAGGAGTTTTGTCCTATAAATAAAAGTAGAGAATACATTCCAAACTATTTTAATATATTTTTTAAACCTTCGTTGAGGCATACCAATTTTTTATATATTTAAACTAGCCCCTTGTCAATTGGTTTTTTGTTTTGTTTTGTTTATTTTTATTTTAGAACTAAGAAAAGATAAAATGGGTAGTTATGTTCCATAAAAATAGGACACATTATTTTATTTGTTTTTATATTTTTAATAGGATAAATATAAATTGACAATATTGTCCTCATTTAATTAATCATTTCAATTTTTACAAATTTATAAATAAACTCAATCCTAGACATGTATTTATAAAAAAAAACTCAAACACTATTTAAACATAGAAACACACTCAAAATCAACCCCAAAATCAACAATTGTATATTTTTTGGGTGTGTTTATAAATGGGTTTTGAGTGTGTGTAATGATGGGTTTTTGGTGTGTTTATAAAGTGTTTTGGGTGTTTGGTTTTTTTATAATTTCAGCCCCCATTTTGGGTGTTTTAGTGAAACTCCCTTCAATTTTTAATGTTTGCATTAATTAAAGGCATTTTCTGATATTTTGAATGTTTCACAATTCTCTGTCTTTTATTTTATACAATCACGATCTCTTGGACTACATGGTTCTAAGAGATTTGTGGTCACTCACCGTTGAATGTAAATTCAACAGTTCATTCATTTTTGCACTCCTTTTAAGAGACTTTTTTGAACCATTATATTAATATTCAACGATGAGTGAACACAATCTCTTAGACTCCTGTGGTCCAAGAGATGGGGACTAGATTATAAAAAGGAAATGTTTCTTTCATTGTGACATCACATTTAAGATTTTTGTATATTCTAGTCCGTTTTAAGAATTTTTTTTCCGGCCGCTAGTTTAATTTTGATATTTACATATTATAATCCAATTGCAGGCCAAATTAATTAACAGAAAACTCAATAGAATATATCACAAATTAATTAACAGGCCAAATTTTGACATTTGTTGACCAAATTGATTATTTTACGAATAAAATGGTTCGCTAGAGTTTCAATTTTATGCTCCAAAAAAAAAAAACAATATAAAAAAAAAAAGTCAATAAATAAAGACAAAACGAAAAAAAAAAAAAAAAAAAAAAAAAAAAAAAAAAAAAAAATCAAAAGGGTTTAAAGAAAACAATAAATTTGATATAAAGAATTTGATTTAAAAATATAAAGCAAAAGTATTATTATGGAAAGTAAACGACAAGTTGACGCAAGCAAAAGAGACGCTTTCAAGGCGATTGAGCTGTGATGTTTGGGCCCACCCATAACTTTTAATATTTTTAGTTTGGTGGCCCACCAGATTTCTCCCAGAAAAAGCGAAAGCAAAAATGTTAGATTAAAATAAGGGAGGGAATGTGTAGGTATCAGTGGCAGTGCATGCTGTCCGTGTTTCGGAATTGGGCCCCACTAGAATTTAAAAGTGGAGGCTCCATCTCGTTACTATGAGGAGGAATCATGTCACTCCATCTCGTTAAACATAGTAATCTTTGTCATCGAATCCGGGTCAAACTGGTCCGGTTTAGACCGGTTCAAGTAAACCGAATTGGATTGGTATTCTCTTTCTCTTAGTTCCCTTCCCTACATGTCTCACATAAAATGCTTAGACGGGACTTGTCTTTTTTTTTTGGATTAACTACACTTTAGCCCCTAGAGGTTTAGGGTCAGTATCAAAATGAGCCCCAAGATTCCAATTTCATACCTAATGTATCTAAATATGACCAATTCACCCCGTTCATTAGATTGACCGTTTGGTCAAGGACGGGACTTGTCTTGGTGATCGTTGGATGCATTGAGATCATTGTACCTAATCGGATCATCGTTGGAACCTATATGGTGATCATTTTATTATGGATTAAGAATTTCCTTATTTAGTTGAAATTTTCATACGTGAGATTAAAGAGTGATTAAAACATACTAATTCAAACTCATGTTTGGCTAATTGCCCTAATTATGTGGGAAAGTTGTCACTAACTAGAAAGCTGGGATAACTTATCCCAATCAAATTAAGAACGAGCACATGGTTTGTGTTTAGGATTCGAAGTCCATGTTCAGATTTTTGGATTCGACCTCTAAAATTCAAAGTTTGAATTTGAGGCAGACTTAGGGTACAATTTTTTATACCCAATTTCGGGTTTTGAGGTCTAGGGTTTCGAATCCATGTTCTAAGGTGTTGAGCTAAAGCACAACTTTGGATCTAAGGACTCAAATTTATGGCCTAACTCAGCTCGAGAGTCGACGCTATAGGCTTGAGTTCTGAGGTTCATATATGAATTAGGTTTTGGGTTTGAGTATGGAGTTCGAGGTCTACATCAAACACATATATAGTATTTCCCATTACTAAGATGGAGTGGATGGAATTATGTTGTCATAACACCATGATCCATGTTCCATTCACCCTTGGTATTGGATTACGAAGAGTCACAATCACTGATATTTGTAGCCTACTTTTTCACGGTTGTGGTTGATATGAGAATGGGCAAAAATATTAAACTTCTCAAAAAGTTCTGGCAAAACCAACAATTCCCTACCTTTTCCACCTAAACGAAAAGGGAATTGCACCAAGACAGCTAGACTGCATACTTCTAATAATTGGGTTAAAGTGAAGACAAGACATGAAAAACGGGACCACTTTATTTCTCTTTCATGTTCGGGGGTGGATTGAGTCATATAGAGTCAGTTTCACATTAGCTACAAGTCCCCAAGAAAAAAGCCCTTTCATTTTCACCCTAACAATCAAGTGTTGTCTATTGCCCTCTCCCCACACGAATATTTTTGTTCCTTAGTGGCAAATCTTTAGTAGATACTAATAATAATCAAATTTGTAGGTGTCATGTCACGAAACAAACCCTTGCTAAACGAAGAAGACTTTTCACTGAAATCGTCTATCTTCTAAGTCAGACTCCAAATATCATTTATGTTGAATGAATGATATTTGACAAAATTGATCTACACGAATGATATTTAACAAAATTGAACCATAATGACGATTTCGATCATCAGACAACAACATTATAGAATTGATTACACGTATGTACAAATAGAAGGTAGGTAGCTATCCTTTGGAATTTTTGAAATTTTGCCTTCTACCTTGATTTTTACAATGCCAAGAATGAGAATCAGTGTCTATTTTTCCCTTTCACTTTCATTTCCCACTTTGTAATCTATGCCAAAAATCAGAGTGGGGTGTTCATGCCGAGGTGAGTGGCAAGAGCATTAGCTTTGATTGATGCACCCAAATCTGATATGCCACCAATGAATGCAATCATTTGATAAATTATTCAGCTTTGTAGATAAAGCCAGGCCTATTTTCGGTCGATTTGGTTCCTTTTTCGGATTTACGAAAATCGAATCAAAATTTTATAATATTTCTTCTTAGAATTATCAGAAACACTACCAACTACCAAACAAATGGGAAATTCGATATTTTCAATAGTACAAAAAGGTGTATGCGAAGTCCGCAATTGAGAATCGAATATCTTTATGTAATTTAAATATAGAGAAATTTTATAATGCATAGCGGTATGTAACTTAATATGGAAATCTGTGGAACAAATTATTCTTCTGGGTTTACTATATATTGCGGTGGCATAATCTAAACTGTTCATTGTGAAAGTTCATGTTTAGAATTAGAGATCCTTCGTTCATTCTTCATTGGCACAATCTAATATGTTTTTATGATACAAGTTATATTGGGGAAGAAGGAAATCGAACACAGGATCTCGGGTGAACAAGAATTCTATAATGAAGGTCTTATAAATGGCCCTTAGGTGAAATCCTATTTCTTAAACATTGGATCAAATTGAGATAACTGCTCTTAACCAAAGTCTCTTGCCCATATAGGTGTTTTTTGGGGGTCAGAATTGCTCATGGTATGTTATGTTGTCCAATGACCATGATTTTCGTAGTTTTAAACATTATTATTCTTATCAGGTTGGGCTTTAGAGTTGGGCTGGACTTGGATCCAACTTGTGTTCTTTTTGGTTCAACTGAGAGTGACTCTCTAAATAGGAACTTGTTTGTTGCCTGCTCTATTTTCGTTCATCAAATTAGCATCAACAATGGCAACCTTGGTTGTGCTTGTGACATGTGACTATTTTCCATCTCTACAAAAATCTGAACCAAAAAATAAACAATCAAAACAATACTGAGAAGACAAATGCAAAAGTTTGATCACCAAGGAAACAATGCAACAGAAAGTAAGGAAAAATGTGCTTTCTGGAGACAAGAAGAATTCAAAGGATCACATTTCTGAAGCAACTGACAAACAATTTAGGTACAACATGAAAACAATATTATACATTCTGCTGGTACATCTAATCTCGAAACCCAGATACAATATACAGTATCTTTTGAGGGTAGTTCCCTTGTACAGTTACTATTTATGTATCTTTTGTAAAATTTAATGTTTTGAGTGAAGAAGCTCTTCAAACACCGACTATGGCATTGTAAGTACCGTAAGCAGCGAAAAGCATTCCACACAATAAAATGGAAAAATCCACAGTTCTCTGCCAGAGTTTTAGAGAAGAACCCAATAATGCTAAGTGAAATGTAGCTGGCAAAACAAACGAGATCAGTGCACATACAGTACTCCCCACAAGCGAGGCAAATACTGCAAACCCTGGAACACATGAGGCCAAGACTGCCAATTGGATCACCACCATTGCTCGAGTCATGTATATTGCAAATTTTCCAATTCGTGTTGTTGAATACTCATCGTTATTGTCATGAGCCTTCTGAAACCATTTTACTTTCGCTAGCTTTCCCTCTATGATCTCATTAATTGGGTGTAGCATGATTGGGAACGTAAATATTAGCCCCAAGCACAAACCAATCTGTTACCATGCAGTCAGCCAAAAGATCAGCCAAAATCTCCTACAGTTACATAAGGTATAATTGAACAGAAAGACATTCTGCATCAACCTAGTCAGATGTTATGATTACTACCTACAGAACTTATCAAGAAAACTATACATTGAAAAGTAAAAACCCATCAAGCAACCTTGAAACCATATTTTCCACCTGGATTTCACATGCCAGTCAATGTGCATGGTTACCAAGTCATCAGTTCAGCTATTAAATCATGATATCTTTGCTATGGGATCGGGGAAGCACACTAAAAGATAGTTTACCTTAATAGAATTTATTTGATACTTGAAATTAGAGAAAGACAAATTGAGAAAACTTCAGTTTCGTTGTAACAATATGCATGCATATCAGTATATGTATAAACATAACAAGTACTTCCCTTATACTTAAAGATATATCATAATTGTATTAACTTATTATTATGCCAATACCATATCCTTTTTGGGCAAAGCAATTATAAGGAAACAGGAAGACTGATGAAAACTGAAATAGTGCATACCAATCATGAGACAAATAGTACTATATATAGTTTGGGAGGGGAACTATTAATTAAGCTTCTAAGAAGGTGGATGATGGTAATTGGATCTATCTTGCCAACTAAGCCTAAGCTCAAGAGACTGTTCCAACTAAGAAATGTACATTCCTTTTCATTTTTCTGTCCAAAATGTATTTCTTACAACTTCTTTATATATACCCACAACCCACAGCCACCAAGAACTTCTTATCTTAATGGTAAATCTAAATTTCAAAGCATACCCTAAAAACAGAAAAGACCAAGACAATAAAAGTAAGCAAGTGCAATGAAAATTTGAAAGCAAGATGAGTGTTGACAAGTATGACAGGGAGGGTTAGAGTGCATTACCTGAATTACTATGGCAGACCAATTTCGAGGGAGATTGAGAGTGACACTGTCTCTGGTTTGATCACCGTAAGCCATGTAACCGGCGAATCCGAATAAAACATAGACAAGGGTTATACCTGTCAAAGCCTGACCAAGCAACCTTGGGAACGAGGTTTTGTCTCGCATAGAACCTTCCAGAGCTAATGTCATCCCAAACCCCTCAAAACAAAACACTGCCACGCCTCCTGCAAATGGCAACCCTCCTATACTTGATGTGACCGCGGTCCTATCACTAAAAGAAAACTCACCCTCGAATGCCTGCTGTATGTCTTCTTTCACCACAAATAGCATAGCCAACAAATTGCAGACTGATGCAAAGACACTAAAGGGTGCTAAAGCAGATAGACTGCCTATCCAAGACAGCCCAATTTCAATTGGAACTAATAAAAATATACAGGAAGCAACTGAGAAACCGTAGCCATTCAATATCGATGAAAGGTTTTGCCCAACAAATACAAGATACGCCACAGAGCCTCCACATTGGGCAACCAGAATCACAGATTCGGTTATATAACGACCTGTCCTTCCCATGCATCCATAACCCAAATCACCATAAGTTTTTCTATTTGCTGAGTCTTCTACTGATGCCAACTTCTCCCTACATTCCACCTATTCATTATCACGGAATCAAAACATAAAGATCAATTTTAAACTTTTCCCCATCCCCAAGGAAAAAAAAAAGGGTCCAACTATACCAAACCAGAAATGTGAATTAAGAAGGGCAAAAAAGAAGATTACTGTGTTCACGAAGATTGATCTAAGCGGGTCATATGGTAATCTGAATGATTGATCTAAGTGATGTTTGTTCAAATACATCTCCAAATAAATAAAACACCTAAAACGCTCTAGACATTAGCATAGCATGTTCATATACTCGAGCAACATAACAAAAGTCACAAATTAACATGTCAAAATAATCTAAATGCCCAAATGAACAAGTTAATAACATGTAAGGTAGTTTGAAAATGTAGAGTCGAACAGTCTAGCAACATAATATGCCACATAGTCTAACAACATAACATCTCGAAAAGGACGTTAAACCAAAAAGAACAGATTAAAACAAGAATGAAAAACTGAAGAAAAAGAGAGGGAGCCGAAGAAACTAACAAGGAGGAGCATGCAATAGTAGGTGCCGAGGCCAGCAATAATCACACCAAGCGAACCCGCAAGCCAGCCAGCGATTCTCAAAGCGAAAGGGAGACCCAAAACGCCGGTCCCAACAACGGAAACGATTATGTTTCCGAGAGTCTGAGCCGTAGAAGCCCCAGCTGGCTTGTCAAGCAAAGGAACCGCCTTGCTCTGTCCTCCTCCACACTCCATTGTTTTCTGTCTGTGAAACTGAGAGCTTGAGAACTATAACTATGGAAGACTTCATGGGTAGCTAGCAAATTCCATGGTTGATATATAAAAACTAATATGGGGGTTTGGTAGAGAGTGAAAATCTTTGATAAGATGAGATCTCATACGGGTAATTTTTCTGGATATTGGTTCATTGCACCAAACCTGTCCAAGTGATGATGATAATTGGGTTTTTCGATGGAATCTTCTTTTTCTTTGCTCTCTAAACTTGGAAAGGTTTTAATTAGATGGGGAGGGTTTGGTATGAGTCGCGCTCAGAGCTCCATGTGAGCTACAGTCGATGGGAGATTCTGATTTTATCAACAGATGTCGAATTCTACGGCGACCTTCCAATCTGTCACGGGACACAAAATTTTGTTTGCTTCTTTGAGCGATATGTGGATTCTGTTTTATGTGAAACGTGATGGCATTGTTTTGCTATCCCGGTCTATTACGGCATGCCACGCATATTATACGGGCATGCCATGCATGTCATGTGAATATCTATGATTAGAGCATCCACAGTGGTGGGTGTATGTTAAATACATCCCGAGTCACCGGAATCGTCTCCAATGGGGAGATGTAAATGGATGTAAATATACATCACCACCATGGGGATGTAAAATAAAATGTATTTTTACATTTATTTTTACATCTCTTGCACGTGGGACCCACCGGAGAAAGAAAGAGGAAAAGTGGAGAAAAGTCATCATAAAAGAGTGGGACCCGTTGCTACAGTAATTGCTGTAAAAAAATTCACATGCGGAGCAATTTTGGGAATTTTTGGATGAAATCATATCTTCTCCGAATTTAAATATTTTTAGGTCTATTTGTTTGAAAAAATAAAATTAACTTAATACAAAAAAAATTAATTTGATAAAGTAAACACAAAATACAAATTTAGAACAAAAACGAATTAAGACAACCAAATCAATTATACATATTTAGATTTACATCGTTTCTCATTAGAGCAAAAAACGTATTTACACCATCCGGAGGTGTAAAAGGGATGTAAAAGTGGCTTTACACCCCCGAAAATACACCCCCCCACTGTGGATGCTCTTAGCTCGGAATAATAAAACAATATATATGCACATCATGTGATGAGTGAGATAGTAACTTTCGTTTCGTGCAAATTTATTCTCTTGTCTCATGCAAATTTTCGTTACTTTGTCGATTGCGAAAGTTAAGACGTGGCATTATATGATAAGCGCGAGGAGAATCCATGGGAGACTCGTCTAGTCCATTTAGGTAAAAGTCGGGAATTGAAGAAGAGAAATTGACAATTCCCTTGTTTGGCAACTTAAACGCCGAACTTACTAAATGATGCATGGAAAAAATCATGGAAATTGATGCATCAAATTCCCGAGTTTAATTTCCACCAAAATAGGCGTCATTTCACAATTTCTGTAGTGTGAGATTCATATTTTCCAGTGTGCCAAAACTTACATATAAAAAAAAACCCACCAAACTTTTCATTAAAAAAAAAAAAAGAACAACACCAAAAACCTATGAAACCGAGTATAGCCAGAGAAGTAAGGAGAAGGAGTTCTTCGGGTTACGTGGCTCTTTGGATCAAGTTTGAAGGTTAGTCTTCAAGCCTTTCTCTCCTTCAATTTATATATTTTTTATTTTAGGGTTACCATGGTTTCTGAATGGCTATCAAAATTAGGTGTTTCTGACTAAATTTATGAATGTGTTGGGTTTTGTGATCTTTGCGGCACTATGGCTGGATTTTTGGGAAGTTTTAACAAATACTCTATGCCCATGGATATTGGTGTGTGATTGATGTTTATGGTACAGCTCTGTAGTTGTTTGCTAGCTTTATCACTTTGTGTTATCGCCTTGCTCTATAGTTGTTTGTTAGCTTTATCGCTTTGTGTGAGCCATTAGATGTTGATTGTAAGCTACACCAACTTGCCCGTAAGCTGCAGCTTGGCCAAGGTGCTCCTTCATTCTTTGGGACTTGAATTAAGTCTTATGATAGTGATTCATTGATTTCATCATTTATCCCTATACTTTTGTTTGCAACTTTTTAATCAAAGCTCTTTCAGTTTCTCTGGTCATTGGTCTTTTGCCAAGTGAAAAAGAAGTATTAGGGTCTTGATTGCTGATTGCTTCTAGCTCTAATTCCATAGGCACTCCCAATTGAGAAAAAAAAAAGAAAAAAAAGTATGTTACTGATGTTCATTGCACGTGGGGAGTGATTTAGTTTGCTAATATGCTTTCTTTGTTTAAGTTGAGTTATTTAGTTCATCAACCAATATGTTATTTCATACTTCAAGGAATACCTTCTATGTCGATTATTAGTTTTTTTGTTCTTTCGAAATATTTCATTTCTTTCATTTATAATTTACATGAGCTATCCAAACATTCAAAATTTCAATTTCTATCATTTGCAAAATTTGACATACATAAATCCAAACACTGAAATTTTCAATTGTCAGAAATTGAAATGACGGAAATCTAAATTCCGTTATTTTAAAATTCTATGTAATTTGCAATTCCTTCATCCAAACGGAGCATAATGGTAATCAGAGAGTAGATTTTTTTTCCAAAGTGATTGTCAACTCTACAACAACAGTCCATGCGCGTATAAAATGCACATCTAGCCAAAAAACCAAAACAAAAAAGGAAAAGAAAAGAAATCTAGAAAACAATGGAAGAAATTTAGAAAATAATGAAGGCAAATTGAGAAAATAGTAAACTGCTGAATTGCCTTTTGAACTTTCACTTAATTTTTCAATTTTCCCCTGATCTTTTTTTTAGTCAATTAAGGATATGAATTAATTTTTTTAGCCAATGTTCACCCCCACCATCATATTTCTCAATATTCCTTCTATCTCTCCGTCAAATTTGGCATGCGTACACCTTGTGACGAAAAATTTGATAACACTCAATAATATGAAAAATAGTAAGGGTATAGCCAATAGGCTATTTCTATTTTAGGAATTTAGTGAAAACCCCCAAGAAGCAGCCAGCTCTCAAAAAAACCCAAAATCTTTTCAAAATGACGAAAAAGTCCATTATCTTTAGCATCAAAGACATGCAAGTCCAAAGCTCTTTCCTCCACCATCAGCATGTGAAGAGACCAGGCCTACATGTGAAGATTTTGCCTTCAAACAACTAGACCATGTGAAGACTTTGTCACTTCGTTGCTCTTCCATGAGCTAAGAGCCAAGCCAAACCACAAACCTTAGTAGGAACACTAGATTTCCAAATCATTCACTCTGGAACAAGAAATTTCATATCACACAAAATAAAAATAAAACGTCTTAAAAGAGAAAACCCTTGATGAACCCAGTTCCCACTTCCACCTATTTGACCTGTGTTGAGAACTGAAAATTCTCCAAAACTGTCAATAATGCTGCATCTTCCACTTGATCTGCCCAACCCTTTGCTTAACCAGCCACAAATATAATTTCCAACATAAAGGTAATTTACCTACTTGCAAATCTGTTTTTCTTCGACCTAAATCCAGAGTTAGAGCCAGAAAATAAATTCTTGTACCGTAGTATTTACATATAACACCATCATTTTATATGTTAAGAGACGACATTGAGATTTTGAAATATACACAACAAGTTAATGAGGTTACTCCAGTAAGTTCTCTGTAGGAAAGGTTTGTCAGGAAATCGACAAGGTATGCATCTAAGGAATACTATGCCAACCAATAAAGAATATAAGATAATGAAAAGTTAGAAATATGTTACATACAAGTGTTTTCTTGTGTGTAACGGTTATTCTCTCGGACTTGCAATTTCAAATTCAGACATATGATTAAGAGGACAAAGTGCCTTCACACCACCAGGATATTGCACTATGGCACCAAAGCTGTCAACAGCTATGATTTTACCTTTCACCAAAAGGCAGGCTTGATATCTGAGTTAGCAAACACTGTCCGTTCAGAAGCACTGGCCTGCTTCATAGAAAAGCAATTAAACATACTAAGTATGCTCCAATGAGATTAGTGAAAAACAATGATAACATACCGTCTTCTACACGCAGATATGAAGCTCTAGTTGTGCAACAAATCAATTGAAAATACTTGAAACAGAAGGTGATATGATGGCAATACAGCGACAATACAGGGGAAATACAACGGCAGTACATGGGAAATACAGCAGCAATATCAGGGCAATAGGAAGGCAATTCAATGGCAATACAAAACTCCACACTCCCACTAGAATTACATTCTAACAGACTTGAAAAAATTGCAATGTATAACATGGTTGAGATAGATACATAACACATCCACACTAATTTCAAAACAATACATGGTTGAGATAGACATTGGAAAGTTACAAATTGAAGGAGCAAAAGCTACTTGTCTAGGTGATTGTGTCTTTCCCCTAAGTCAAACTAAGCTAGACAATTCCAGCACTGACCAGCTTCTGGATCTTGTTAACCATATGCCTTATCTTTTACTCACTAGAATATCCGTTGTGCCACTGCCCACGCTCGTCATCCAGTTCATCATCAAGTTCAGTCTAGTTCTAAACACCATGCCTGATAATTTGATTCATGAGACAATCTAATGTAGACAACAATAAATAAGTTCAGAAGCATAATAACAGAGAGAAACTAATAGAAGTGGCTCTAAGTAAACCTCAGCACAAAACATTTTTCTCTTATTTCTTGCAATTTAATTTCACAAGCAGGACTGGTGTATATCAGTACTCAGGACATATGTCACTCTTTAAGAGTGATGGTGAGCACAAGGGCAGTCCACAGAGGAGCAAGGGTGGTCAATTGACCCTGCAACCCAAGAATCCGCCACATGAGGAAAGAAAATTGACCCTGCAATGGCTGGATGGCTGGGCAAGTCATGCCCGCTATCTGTTCGAGGAAATGCCTCAAAGGGACGCATCATCTTGAGCGCAGCAAGCAACGTTGCGCGCACCGCGCTTCTGTTATGTTTTCATCTTTTGCTTCAAAATGATGTCGTTTGTTTAAGTTTTTTGTTGTTTTAAAAACATATTAAAGTAAACAGGGGCATGAGCAATAAAGCTGCTGCTCGAGAAACCCCACAATCCCGGATAGGGGTGGGCATCTAAAGCCGAAATATCGAAACCGTACACTAATCATACCGTACAATACCAATTTCATAAGGATGGGGAGATATTCGATACTGTACCGTACCAATAGAGTATGGTATGGTAGCGGTATCAAGTATTTGGTACCGGTCAATACCGTACCGTACCGAATATTGAAATATAATTTTTTTTAATACTGAAATATAAGTATTTGTGTTGTGTTGTTGATTTTGGATTATGCCATTTGTGCTGTGTTGTTGATTTCTTGCTTTTTCTATATTTTTTATAGCCTTTGTGTGTGTTTATAGAGCATTTTTCTTTGATTCATTTGATAATTAAAAGCTGTTTCAAATAGAAACATATAAAAGCCTTTTGTAACCAGGACTTGAATTCCATTAACTTTTTTCTGTGAGATACAAACAAGAACCTCCTGTATTAAATTTAAAAACAGTATTATTCTACCCTAGAATAGTTTTCAGAGTGGCCTATGGGTTCTGTTAGTTTGAAGATTAGTATCTTCATTATTTTGTTCTTAAATTTCCATGTATGCATCATCTATATGGTTTCTTTCATTGACTAGTCAGACGTGACAGTTTTGGCATCATCACTGTTAAAACAATAATAATATAAAGAATCTTTTATTAAAAATTGACTGAGCTTTGTTATTGGGTATGTAAGCCATAAGGCATAATGTATAATTTTAACTATTTTGGTTTGTAAGCCATAAGACATGAGTTTTAACCATTTGGATTTGATGAATCTGTTGAATCTGTTGATGGATATTGATTTGGTTGATTTGGATGTTGAATATGTTTATGGATATTGAATATGTTGATTAAGATTTGGATATTGAGTATGTTGAATCTTTGAATCTGTAACTTAGGCATCACTTATTTTGGTGAAGGAATATGTTGAATATTGAATTGGTTCATTCTTTAGTTGTGTCAAGTTGGTACTGAAATGGTACTGATACCGATTTGGCACGGTATGGTACGGTACTAACTTTGGCAAACGATAATCTCATACCGTACCATATCGGTTTTAATTTCCGGTATCGGTAGTGATACGAGTTCAATACCCTAGCAGAGAGTGGATACTTTATCTCTCCTCCAAAAAAACCCTAGCAGAGAAAAAACACTACCCAACCCTTCAACGCCGCATCTTTTGGGGGAGGTGGTCTGCCCCTCCTCCCTTCCTCTTCCTCCTTTTTCATTCTTCTTCCCCCCTCTTCCCTCCTCTTCCTTTCTCTCTGTTAATCTCTCCTTGTTTTTGGTTTTACCCCTCTTTCTTTTACCGCATCCTCCTCACCCTTTGTGGTGATTTTGCTTGGGCTTTATTCTCATTTATGAAGGTTCTTTGTCTATTGTTGTCTCTTATCGCCACCTCTCTACCACAGACCTTCGCTCCTCGTGTTCACGGATGCCTCCTCCTCCCAATCCAAACTGGCTCCTCATTGGGGATGCAGATTCAATTGGGAAAAGCCCAATCCAAACTGGCTCAAAGATAAGAGTTGGTTTAGGCTATTGAGGGCAATATCGTAATTTCATTCACTACGTTTGTACTAATGACCTAGCTCGGCTGCCTCACTTATGTCAAGCCCCAGCCGCATTGCCGCAACTCCAGGAGCAGAGAAGCCCCAGCCGCGTTGCCCATCTCATCAAGAAAGGTGAATTTTGCATCTTGGATATTTCAAATTCAGATCTATATATCCAATTTTATTTACTCATATAGTCAGATCTATTACTTAAAATCCTAATTTAATTTAATTTAACTTTTTATTTATTTCTTATGTTGTTCTTCTTGTCGGGGAAGATCAATCCTACGGATCTACTACCGGCACACCAGCATGCCCTAGAAAAATATATACAAATGTATAAATAAACTCAATCCTATACATGTATTTATAAAAAAACCCAAGCACTATTTAAACATAGAAACACACCCAAAATCAACCCCAAAATCAACAATTGTATATTTTTTGGGTGTGTTTATAAATGGGTTTTGAGTGTGTGTAATGTTGGATTTTGGGTGTGTTTATAAAGTGTTTTGGGTGTTGGGTTTTTTTATAATTTCAGCCTCCATTTTGGGTGTTTTAGTGAAACTCCCAAAAATATATGGGCTGGTGGCGCCCATCCCAAAATTTGCTTAAAACTCCAGCGGAGAGGTACCGCTAGGCCTCGGCCTAGCGTAGTAGCTCTTACTTGTCGCCATTTCGGTGATTTAAAAACGCTGCGTTTTGGCCGCTCTCTAATACTACCAAATTTCCCATTTCCCTAAACCCTAATACTTCTAATACAATGTCTTGGCATTAAAATTCAACCCGTTTTTTTGGTTGAACTAGGACCACCAGATCCCAAATTCCAATTCGATCCATTTTGGATCTCCTATGTTATTCATGTTAGTCATAGTAGATCTGTTTAATTGGTTTGCATTTTCATACAATTTGTATTGATGATGTTTAGTTGGAATTTGGTACTGGTCTCCTTCTAGGTGGACCCCCCTCGTTGTGAAATTCATGCGTCGCTATTCATGGGTTTAGGGTCCTTAGCATATAGTATGAACCACCAACGCCTAAATTTTAGGGTTAAAACAATCCTAAAACCAAGGTGGTTGCTATCAAAAAGGCGCCTCATTAGATAAAATCTGTACTCCAGTTTAACTATGACTCAGTAGGTTAAGCAATGTCCTTTTACAATTCAAATATGATATTTACAACCAACTCTAGCATTAATGACAATGTAACAATATGAAAATATACTTAGTTCTCATCATATTTCAAAGCCCATAAGAGAAAGTCCAACTCCTTTGGAAAGTTGTTCCCATGAATTTTGTAACAGAGTTCTGCGAACAACTTATCATCTCCCAAAATGACACGATTAGAGTGAGGCAGATCGATACATTCCAATAGAGTCCTCCCGTTCCTCATCCATACCCCATGAAGAGTAATATTTAGGTGATCTTTTTATAAAACCTCAAAACATGGAGCATGGCACTAATAATATCGATGCAACATTAAAAAATGAATACGAATAAATAAAAATGAAAAACAAAATACTGCTGTAAAATAAATGAATATGAATAAAAATAATTGCAAATTATTATACCTGTGTATCGTACGCAGCTCCGGGATGATGTATTGGCTATTTGGATCTATTAACTCATATGTATTATCCACTCATGGGGTATGGATGAGGAACGTGAGGACTCTATTGGGATGTCTCGGTCTGCCTCACTCTGCTTGTGTCATTTTTGGAGATGATAAGATGTTCACAAACCTCTGTTACAAAATTCATGGGAACAACTTTCCAAAAGAGTTGGACTTCTTCTTACGGGTTTTGAAATATGATGAGAACTAAGTATATTTTTATATTGTTACATTATCATTAATGCTATGGTTGGTTGTATAATGTCATATTTGAATTGTAACAGGACATTGCCTGGCCTACTGAGTCATAGCCCGCTATTCATGGTGCCAAGAGTTAAACTGGAGTATAGGTTCTATCTAGTGAAGCGCCTCTTTGATAGCAACCACCTAGGTTGGAGGTTTGTTTTTAACCTGACGTTGGTGGTTCATTCTATATGCTATGGATCCTAGTTACAACAAAATAGACGCATAATTGCGGGTTCAATAGCATACAAGCCAGGTAGTTTTGGTTTTTATAAATTCTTAATTTCTTGACAGATCTTTATTTGCAGCTTTGCTAATTTCATTTGGTAATATGTGCATTTATTGAGTTTTAACTTTACATGAAACAAGTAGAAATACAACAAATTGTGTTTTGCTTTAAGAGAATATTTTTGTACCTTACTCATTTGAAATTGAAAGAATATTGGGTCAATGGGAGCTTATGTATATGGGTTCATATCTCTCATGACAAAAATAGGGAGCAGAAGAGGAGCACATCCGCAGGGGATGGTGGCAAATGATGCTAATTGTTATTTGTTGTCTTTAGAGTTGTAGAAAATCCTAGTTTAATCTGTATTAATCAGTTGGGAATCAAAGTTTATTTGTATTTCTATGGAAATGTGGGATTGTATGTTGGTAATTTGGATGAGTTTGAATGTTGGATTTGCTGGGAATTTTGATTTTTATGATGAAAATGTTAATGTTTGTTAGCAACAGGTTCTGTTTTGGGATTATATGATGAAATATTGATATCTTTGTTTAGCAGGTTCAGTTATTGTAAAGCATGTTCTGAAACAAATTCATATTCTTGCAATCAAATAGTAAAATAGTTGGGATAAAATAGTAATCTCCTTTCCAACAGTAGAAAATCCCCAAGAAGCAACAATAAAACATGCTCTCGTGTATTGTGAATTTCCATTAGCCATCATGTGACCTTCAAAAAATTTCACCATCTGATATAAAGGTTATGATGTTACGTGTGAAAGTTGACTCCTTTTGCTCCTCAATGGTAATAAAGGAAAGGATATCAATGAGAATATGGCATACAAGAAAAAACAACTAAAGCCTTGGCCCACCCATGTATGAAACCTCGTCCTCCATTCCACCTCTATTCCTGGGAAATATTTCCATTAATGCTGCAATACTTTCCTAATTACCTCGATCCATGTTATTTTTGTTTTCATCTTCCTCAAGCTCTACCTGCTCTCTTTAACTAATCACTCTAACTACTCTATTTATCTTTTTAATTTTTTAATTTTTTATAATAAACAAATGTTTTTATTGAACAGAAATGAAATTACAACACAAGGTTCTCTCTCACTTAAGATACCGTGAACCTTTCCACACTTGATCCAAACTGAGTTTTTTTACCTAAGCTATCCATTTCACACAAGCTTTTCCGCTTTTATATGGTCTTTAATCCACTAAGTTTGGATATTAATCTTCATTTTGTTGGTTGAGATTTGGAGTTTATGATTTGTTGGGATTTTGAGTTTGGAAGAAGAAGAAAAAAAAATATTGGGTCCAATAATAGTTAAATCAAGAGATTTTTATTGCTGGATAGATTTCATCTAGTAGTCGCTATACAAATGGTTGCAGTATGCCATTGATAATTGATGTATTTTATTCCCACCAAAAAGTACTGGTATCCAGATCATGACCATTTGCTTTGGACCCCTGGCTATGAAACAGTGCTTACTAACTAACTATTGACACCCATTTTGCGCAGATGGGTGTCTAAAATTTTGTTTAAATTTGCTGGATTTGATCCTAAATTGATTGTTTAAGGGTCAATCATGACCGTAGTTTAATTTTTTATTTCAACATGGAAAGTTCGTGGCTCAGTCTCCATTTTCTTGGTGGTGTTATCTTTTTGCTGCTGGGATGGATGAAATTGCTGCTCATAATACCTGTTAGTTTGATGCATTTTTCATTGGATTCTGGCAGATCAAACATCTGATAATCTTGTATTGGAACCATGCGTCGTTTCCTGCACTACCTTTGCTTGAAGAGTTCCAAAGTTGATAGACATAGACTTGGGTATGAAGACCCTACTAGTCTTGCTTCAGAAACTGCTTGTAAGTAGAAGACTCGAGAGTTGCTTTAATTACTTGGCACAGTTTTTCACTTGTTGTGGAGCTTTAACAAATTTATGTTGATTGAGTTGCCTGCATGTATTTATTTCTGGCATTGTACATGAAGCCATCGTGTTGATGCCGTGCTGTGCATATAGCTTTCTACTACTGATTGTCCTTCCTCCTCTAGCCTCTCTCTTTGTGAGTTGGAAGGAGGAAGTATATACTATGTATGCGCCTTTATATTCACATGTTAAAGTTCTTCCAAGGCAGTGCCATGCCCTTTCTGTCACTTGGTCATGCTAGGCAATGTTGCAGCTGCCAAAACACAAACTCTAGGACTGCGGTTGCAATCTGAACTGCATTTTCAATCTTCTGACATATTACTTGAGATGACTGAGTGTTTGAACTGCAATCTGAAATTGTTGCAGACTCGAAATAGAATCTTTACTGTTTCATTTTCTTAATAGGGCTTGCACTAAATCTTTGACATGATATGAACAGGAAGAGTTCCAACTTGCACTATTTCAAAGCAGCTGTAAACAGAATCTTTTTTGCGGACAGAGTGAGTGCAACCTATATTATTACTTAATTTTCTTCAAGTTTGTGTTTGTGAGTGTACTTTGGATCAAAGTGCTGCATGCCACAGTCAAGTGTGTGAGGACTTTATGGCGAAATTCTATAGTGAGGGTGCCATATATGGACCTTCATATTAGCAATAAGATCATTTCATTAAACTTTAAGTGAATCATGTGGTAAATATAAAGGTTCATATCTATGATTCATATATGACCTTTCATACAAAAAGAAAAAGGCCTTTCATAATGGTTGGCAGCGCAAGAAGTCAATAAAGCCCTGGCCTCACTTCTAACCAATACAAATAACGCAAACCATGTAGCAGATAATTGAGAATTTGTGATGTTTTTCTAACAATTTGCATATTCTTTTTTGGGTTAAAACAGGCCCAACGAATCTAGGCCTCCTCTTCGACTTAATCCAAAATCACAATTCTTTTTTGGGTATTAAAACCCAAACAAAAATGCCCAACGTATCAAATACTAATTAGTAAAGTTAATTATGAATTTTTCTAAAAAAAATCATGTATGATGTATTATGTGATGAATGAAGATCATGATTTCCTTCTCTTTGTGCTATTGTGATTCTCCCATACTCATTATATGTAGGCCAATATCGAGAGATGTTCTCATAGTCTTTTGTTAGCATCAATTGTAGCTTGTACAAAATATCATCAGTTTTATATTTCCACATCTTTTATTTATCTTTTAAAGAAAGAAACTTCTGCAATTCTGATGCTTTCTACCTCTGTATGCATGTCGTGGGTAATGTTTCCATGGCACGTGAAGGTGATGGTGTCAGCCCTATTGAGTGAATCAGATCTGGAACTTTCCGATGATGTTGAATCAATTGTCGAATAAAAACAGACGTATCTTAAAAGTATACAAGTGTTGTGTGGCAATTCCTACAAGTTCCTTGGGTCTAGGGTCCAGTCTTGAATGCAGATAACAGGAACACAGCCACACATATGCATAGACATCCAAATAAAAGTCAAACGTGCTTACTACAATTGTCCAAGAAACAGTACATCATAAGGTAATCGATCCAAATTTTAAACTACACAAGTCCAAACTGTAATGTCAACAACAACATAATATAATTCATAATTGAAGTGCATCCATCCAACTTATTCCTTAGCCATTTCACGAAGAAGTCAAGCAACCTTGAAGAAAGGACCTTGCACTTTAGAAAACATCACTCTCTTCTTAGGCTGACATTTAAATAGCCCTCTTGAAAACCACCGCAAACAACTATCAGAACGTCCCCCAGGTAAAGATTCAACAGCCTGCATCACTTCATGAAGTGAAGGTGCAGTAATACTCTCAACTGCCTCAACAAGGCCACCCCTCTGTTCTAACAGTGTTGCAGCACCTCTCCGCTCACTTCCCACTTTCCACCCTCTTACAACTCCTCCATCATTCTCATCTTTCCTAGCTTGCATGACAAGTTGTTCAGCTCTCCTTTCCCCCATCCCAGATGAACCTGTAGGTTTCGTGGTTTCGACTGGGACGACATTCCTTTCAGTAGCAAGTACATGTACACATCAATAATAAAGTTTAGTAACTATGACATAGAATTCATCTATATATCAGAAAGATAGAAATAAAAGATTGAGTAACATATAGAGTGATCATATTCGGAGAAAACTTAACTGGGAACTGTCAAAAAACACCAATAGGCACCAATATATGACTGCCTTCAGAAATATGCAAAAGCACGAAATGTAACGTAAGGAAGAAATGAATTACCTGTAGAGCTTTGCCCACATAATTTGCAATCCAAATAAACCAATCTTAGATACCATTTCACCATTTAGATAGCAATGGTGCTAAGTTTTGAGGTCTTTTATGTTCAACGCTTACCTTACTTTGAACAAAACTTAAAATAAAAAGTTTCAAGCTTAGGTGCTAAGTTTGTTAGTTTATATAAAATAGGCTCAATGTATGAAAGTAAAAGAAATAATAGAAAATTTGGCTTACACCCTTCAAATTCAATTTGTCATACCTAAAACCCTTCACTTTTTGTTCCTATAAATAATACCCAAAATGTATAAGTAAAAACCCATGACTAGGATCCAACTCAGCAAGTTACCTAATTAAGCATAAAATCTGATTTATTGTACTTTTCAGATTCCAAAAATACCCCTAACTAAGCCATTATTGCATTTTGTATATTAATGTATGAATCAATATGGAAACAGTTTTTAATTGGATTGTATATAATGACAGATGTTTAATTTGGAAAGATCTCCAAATGGTTGTAATGGATATAGGAATTAATTTTGGAACATTTAAAAAAAAATTTAACAATAAATACAAATTTGGGTAATTGGTTTGTTTAATAAAATATTTATGTTATTTTCTTTTTATGAATTATACATGACTAATAATCCACTTTATAATTGTTTATGAATAAAACTGTACATACTAATTATGTTGAAAAAATAATGTACCTATTTGTTTTATGAAAAATATAATTTACCTAGTATGAAAAGTGTACATAATTATCTATTCCAATATACCTACATTAATTTTAATGTACTTACAATTAGGATTTAGGTATTATATGTCATCCAATGTACCTACCATTTGAATAATATACCTACTACGAATAAAGTACCTATTATTTATCTAAATAATATACCTATTTTTTTCTATAAATAATATAGCCTTTTTTCTCTGAATAAAGTACCTATTATTTGTTTTATTAAACGTAATTTTTTAAATTAAACTATTTTCTCTCTCCAAATAACTTACCAATTTTTTTCCTCTAATAATGTACCTATCTTTCCTCTCCAAATAATGTACCTATATTTTATATAAATTATTGTGTACCTATTTTTAATTATGAAAAATATACGTAATTACAAAGTAACTGACTTTTTTTTTTGGGTAAATAATATACCTATATTTTATATGTATATATTTATATTATATTTTTCATATTGGTACATTATTGGATATGTATATTTTTTTTTTTTTTTTTTTTTTGTTTTTTTTTTTTTAATTGGGGGCAAGATGTGAGAGGGAATGATAACTAAAAGAAATGGGGTGATTGATATGCTATTAATAGGGAGTATATTAATTACAATTATGGCAGTTAATGAAATGCTTGAAATAAATTATAAATAAAATATGAAGTTTAGTGGCAACGATGTAAAAACATAGACATACTACGACCTCTTATATCCTACTGGTCATTTAAATTTGAAATTGGGTTTTACACATAGATTTATAGAGTGATGGGTATATGTCTAGGAAATATAAAATGTAGGGATCTATATTGGACAAGCCCAAGAAATAAAGCCGAAAAAGTATGAGTTACACACATAAAAGGCCTTTTTGCTATTATAACTCTTGGGCTAAAAGGTTTTGTGGGAGGCCCCATTTTTTTGAGGCACTGTGCTGTCGCCTAACCCACATACCCTGTGAGCCGGGCCTGGTACTAGGTCTGATTTTCCCCTGTAAGACAATTTATTGTCTTAATCCATAAAAGGTGATCTTCTAATCCTAAGAGGACTCGGGTTTTGGTTTGATCAGGAGATACAACTCAATCCTTATTAGATAATGCTTGTACAGAGCTTATTAAAATCAAACACAAGTATTATCAGGATTCCTAATACAACATGGATTGAAACAAACCTATTCTAATGCAAAAAGGACACTCGAATACTTCTTGATAGGCAAGGTTTTCGTAGTGATGCATCTAAAAATAGAGGTCCCTTCCCTTGCAGCAAACACGCTCTAAAATCAGTACTCACCCTATCTAAGAGACAGAGACATAAAGAGCTGCAGAGGGAAGAAGACTTTCTAGACGAAACCAGATTTCTCTTCTGCTTCAATGGCTGAACAAGGTTAGTATTATTGCATAAAGGTTTAGTACAGACTTACATCCCCCACTCTCACTTGTGAAAATAAAAAATGGATACGATTAATTTATGTCTTGCTTGGGGACCAAGTTGTGTAGTTTACGGTAATGGAATTTGTTAGCTGGAGAGGTCTAGTCTTGCTTGGGGGCTACGGAAAAAAAAAAAACTTGTCCGAGAAAGAATTACTGCTTTGCATACAACTTTTTTCCTTTTCAGATAAAACATTCCTTTTTTATTTTTGGTGAGATTGGTTTTCCTATTTTCACTTGAAAAACAAAACGGTTTCATAAAAAGGCAGATTCCAAACGAATCCCTTTATATATTGAGTTTCTCAACCAACAATCAAACCCTCCGCACTCTTTTCTCTCTCTGATCAATTAAAATAACACAAACAAGCTCTGCCTTAAATCTGCTACCAAAGCTTGGAAGCTCTCTTCGTCCACCGTAAGCCTCCAATTCATTTTCAATCTCTCTCTCTCTCTCTCTCTCTCTCTCTCTCTCTATATATATATATATATATGTATATGGATGGATGAATGTGTTGGCTTATCATATAGTGATTTTTCAGGGCCTAAGTAAAAGAACAAAAGAAATTGCAATCTAGTTATTGTTTTAATGAGTTTTGGTTAATATATTTTGTATGATAATTCATGTAACGTGTTAAAACATTTTGTAAATTTGAGAATTATGTCTGGTGTGTTGATTTTGTTTCTGAATCAGTTGTTTGCTATTTGGTTTTTTCAATTTTCATGAATTGGGTTTGGGTTGTAATGAACAGGAAGATAAACTTTGAGGCTGATTTTCGAAGCCGTTTCGCATAATCAACCAAACAGATTCTTGTGATTTTCTCTCGACCTGTTTCAGTTTGTTGTAGCCTTGTAGGACAGAATGGAATCGAAGTTCTGGAACCAGGTTTGTACTTCACCTCTGTAGTTGGATCAATTTTTCTTCTTAACTCCTGGATTCTACATTTTGATGAAATGTTAAGAAGCATGTTATGTGCTAGTTCCTTGTTTTCTTCATTTTTTTAATAAAATTTTCATGTGTCATTTTAGACTGGTAGTGATTCGGAAGATGCTGATAGTGAGTATGATGAGGAGGCTGAAGCCACAAGCGTTGAGACTTCCAAACAGATTGACAACAAATACCGCACCAATGTGCTTCCTGACTATCAATCTGAGGATGAGAAGCGTGTTGTTAGATCGGTGAAGGACAAACGTTTCAATGAAATGAATGCCACTGTTGACAAAATAAAGAATGCAAAGAACATAAATGACTGGGTGAGCATGCAGGACTGCTTTGACAAGATGAACAAGCAGCTTGAGAAGGTGATGCGTGTGACTGAGTCTGAAAAAGTACCGTCTCTGTACATCAAAGCGCTTGTTTTGTTGGAGGACTTTTTGGCTCAGGCTCTTGCAAATAAGGATGCTAAGAAGAAGATGAGTAGCAGCAATGCCAAGGCCTTGAACGCTATGAAACAGAAGCTGAAGAAGAACAATAAGCAGTACGAGGATTTGATTAGTAAGTACAGGGAGAATCCAGAGCAGAGCGAGGAAGAAGGGGGGGCAGAAGATGAGGTAAGTGAGAATGAAGAGACAGATTCTGAAATTGAGGATCCGAAAGATATTGCGCTTTCGGTTAGTGGAGATGGTGATGAAGAGGAAGAAGGTGATGGGGACAATGAGGATGGTTGGGTGAAGAAAATGAGTAAGAAGGATAAGCTCATGGACAAGCAGTTCATGAGGGACCCTAGTGAGATCACATGGGATATGATTAACAAGAAATTCAAAGAGGTTGTGGCGGCTCGGGGCAGGAAGGGAACTGGAAGGTTTGAACAGGTTGAGCAGCTTACCTTCTTAACAAAGGTTGCTAAGACCCCAGCACAGAAGCTTGAGATTCTTTTCAGTCTTGTTTCTGCTCAGTTTGATGTGAACCCTGGTCTCAGTGGGCACATGCCTATAAATGTATGGAAAAAGTGTGTGCAGAATATGCTTGTTATACTTGATATTCTGGTGCAATATCCTAACATTACGGTGGATGACATGATTGAGCCCGATGAGAATGAATCCCAGAAGGGACCAGATTATAACGAGACAATCAGAGTTTGGGGAAACTTGGTGGCCTTTGTGGAAAGGATAGATACTGAGTTCTTCAAGAGCTTGCAGTGCATTGACCCTCACACCCATGAGTACATTGAAAGACTCAGAGATGAACCTATGTTTTTGACTCTTGCTCAAAATGTTCAAGAGTATCTCGAGAAAGCTGGAAGCTTTAAAGCTGCTGCAAAGGTGGCCCTAAGGCGGGTTGAGCTCGTGTATTATAAACCGCAAGAAGTTTATGCTGCCATGAAGATATTGGCAGAGCAGACAGAAGATGGTGAAACTGGTGGTGAAGGCCAGGAGCCTAAAGCAGTTGAGGAAAGTCGAGGTCCACCTGCATTTGTTTTAACTCCTGAGCTCGTTCCTCGGAAAACTACTTTTACTGAGAGTAGTAGGGCCTTGATGGATATTCTAGTTTCCCTCATATATAAGTATGGAGATGACCGGACGAAAGCTCGAGCAATGCTTTGTGACATTTACCACCATGCTCTCCTGGACGAGTTCTCTATTGCCCGTGACTTGCTGCTAATGAGTCACCTGCAAGATAGTATCTCGCATATGGACATTTCCACCCAAATACTGTTTAATAGGGCAATGGCACAACTTGGTCTGTGTGCATTTCGGAGCGGACTGATCCCTGAAGGGCATAGCTGCCTTTCTGAGCTATATTCTGGTGGAAGAGTAAAGGAGTTGCTTGCACAAGGTGTCTCCCAAAGTAGATATCATGAGAAAACTCCTGAACAGGTACCAATTCTTTTGTTTTGTTTTTCTATATTGTTATTCTCTATGTTTTCCTCGTACTTTCTTTATGATCTGAATTCATTAGGCGCACTGATGGTATAGATTTATAATCAAAATTCCACAAAGAACATTAATGTTGGTAAATCTGTTTGCGACATATGACCTTCAGCTAGTTCTGGATTAATTAGTTATGTCCCATTTGAAGAATTTTTTTAAGCAGATGTGACCTAATATATTTTGTAAGATGTGTTACTTTCGGTTTGGTCAGACTCGATCCCAAGGAAACTCCTGATGTGTTCTTACCTTAGGCGTGAATTGATTTCATTTTTGAGCTATGTGATGGGGAAATGGCTGTGTGTTGTTCTTGCAAAGGAGTATATATATTGCATTTCCCACGAGACTTTGAATGTTCTTTGAGTTAACTGATTCCACAAGTTGTCAATTTGATTCCCTGCCACAAGATTAGCCTAGTTTCCGGTGTTACAATTATGAAACGATAAGAGTGCTGCTCTTTGTCAAATTGCAATTTAGCATAATCTTCAAGATTCTTAAGAAACAAACCAAAGGATTTGAAGAAGCAAATTGGTTAAACAAGCCATTCAAGGGAAACAACATATTCTGAAAAGCTGAAACCATAAACAGAGCATTTTGATTGGAGCCTAAGAAATCTTAAATTAGATTTTCTGTACCGATTTATTTAGTTATAGTAGATAATAGTAATGTTCTATGTCTAATTTGCTATCAACTCTATTTTATAGAACTGATCCCCCCCTAATCTTTTTGTTTCTTTGTTTCTGTTTTTATTTTTCAGGAAAGGCTGGAGAGAAGACGGCAGATGCCGTACCATATGCACATAAACCCTGAGCTCCTGGAGGCAGTTCATTTGATATGTGCCATGCTGCTAGAAGTGCCTAATACGGCAGCTAACATCCACGATACAAAACACAGAGTGATTAGCAAGACGTTCAGGCGGTTTCTTGAAATGAATGAGAAGCAAACATTCACAGGACCCCCTGAAAATGTCAGGGATCATGTAATGGCAGCTACCAGAGCCCTCAGCAAAGGTGACTTTGAAAAGGCCTTTAAGGTCATCAGTTCCCTTCATGTCTGGAAGCTCCTCAGGAGGCGCGAGAGTGTTCTTGAGATGCTCGAGGCTAAGATCAAGGAGGAGGCTCTGAGAACCTACCTCTTGACCTACTCCCCCGCATACAAGACTCTAAGTTTGGCACAGCTCACCCAGATGTTCGAGCTCTCAGAGGCGCAGGCTCATTGCATTGTGAGCAAGATGATGATCAACGATGAGCTGCGTGCTAGTTGGGATCAGCCGACACACTGCATTGTTTTCCATGATGTTGAGCACACTAGGCTGCAGGATCTAGCTTTCCAATTGACTCAGAAATTGTCAATCATTGCAGAAAGTAACGAGAGGGCAACCGAATTGAAGATAGGTGGCGGTGCTATAGAGCCTTTGAGGCGTAGGGACAGCCAGGACTATGGTGCTGGAACAACTGCAGTGAGTGGCAGGTGGCAAGATAACTTGTCATACACGCAAGGAAGGCAAGGTGGTGCCTCCGGGCGCACAGGATATAGATCAATGGCATATGGTCAAGCTGCAGGTGGGTATTCGAGGGATCGAACAGGCACAGGCCAGTACCGGGGAACAGGTCACAACACACGGTATCAAGATGCTGCATACGGAGGGTCAGGAAGGGCTGGATATCAAGCTGGTTCATCTGCAAGGGGGTCTCAGATGGATACTTCAACCCGTTTGGTCAGTCTAAACAGAGGAATTCGTGCTTAAGGAAACATAGCATAAAAGCAAGGCTGAAACAATGTCCCCCTTGGAAACTATTGTTTTTTATCGTTTGAGTTTATTTCTAGAGGCTTAAGTTGGAGTTTTGTGTGTTTTCTTTTGAATTGCGGCCATGGTTTCTTTTGCTTGTTAATAATAAGTTGCCTCTTTAGATTTGTGCCTGACCAGATTTTTATTTTATTTTGTTTTGCCATCAGAAATACTTTTTTTTTTTTCTTCTTTCTTTTACACCAGAAAACTACCAGCCCTTCCACCAAATGTAACAACATCCTCATCGTATCTAGTGCAGCAGCTTGAACTATTGATTACTTTGTTTACCAGGTTCAGTTATTGTAAAGCATGTTCTGAAACAAATTCATATTCTTGCAATCAAACAGTAAAATAGTTGGGATAAAATAGTAATCCCCTTTCCAACAATAGAAAATCCCCAAGGAGCAACAATAAAACATGCCCACAAACAAGCTACAAATGGGACTTCTTGATTCATCTTCTTTATTCAAGATCCTCTAAGAAACTAAAAAAATTAGCAACACAGGTATAAGCATACTATTGAATTGAGCCCCACCAAACAGTCACTCAACCAATCTACTGTGCCCTCGTGTATTGTGAATTTCCATTAGCCATCATGTGACCTTCAAAAAATTTCACCATCTTATATAAAGGTTATGATGTTACATGTGAAAGTTGACTCCTTTTGCTCCTCAATGGTAATAAAGGAAAGGATATCAATGAGAATATGGCATACAAGTGTGGCTTTCTTCCCCCCACCAAAAGCCTCAAACTTGGTACACCAAAAATCAAAACAACCTTTTGGAATAACCCAGCTGGAACCAATCTCACTAAATAACTTCAACCAAACTTGTAAGGAAAAAGGACAATGTAGGAACACATGATCCAGGTTTTCCAAATTAGATTTGCTCAAAACACACCACTGAGGAGAAAGATAAAAGGAAGGCCTTCTCCTTTGAATTTGATCACAAGTATTAAGCTTCCCAAGGGCCAGTAGCCATGCATGAAATTTTATTTTTAGGGGAAACTTAGACTTCCAAATCTGGGAAACAGATGAAAGATGCATGCTGCCATTGTTGAGAAGAAAAAAATTGTAGGATTTGCAAGAAAACACACCCGACTTATCAAATCAATCAAAGAAAATATTGTTTCAAAGACAATGAACTAGTTCACAAAACCATCCATCCTACCAGGCACAAGAAAAACAAAACAAGATGTAATTGTCAACAAAATCTTTTCACATGGATTGTTCCAACATTTCAATGATCTCATACAGGTAAACAGTATACCAACATTATATTAATGATTTTCACATCTTGTTCAATTGTTTTCCTTCAACTTATGCACTGCTTTTTTAATCATTAAATCCATATTACAGGTTCCTTTATAAGCCAAACTTATCCATCAGCCTAAACAATCTGAATTTGGTTGTGGTATATGAAACAGCATAGCATGCTGCACAAGAAGTACATAGCTAGGAGTAAGAAAGTTGCCAAACTACTGTTTCCAAGAAACCCATTAAAAATTTAAAAAATTACAGTAATTATTAAACTTCAGACCAACAACTGGATTACATGACTGACAACACTTGCGTTGTTTTGACCGAATCTTAAAGATGGGATTCATAAAATTCATAATCAAAAAACTACATGCACCCCGAAAAAATAAAAAGAGAAATAAAAAATTTATCAAAGTTCAAGGAAGACCATATTAAAATTACACACCTTATCCATGTAAACCTTATACATTGTTATATGTTGGAATTGCTCACACAAATCATCAAAGATTGGAGTTATCCACTTAAGGGCTGCACAAGAAGTATACAAAAAAGGAGCAATTTATTGCAAATTACTTGATTGATGAAAGTAAAATTATACTTGGAAAATTGAAAGTAAATTCATTAACTATAACTTACTACGCTGGCACCCAGGTGCAGTGTGGAAGACAACCACAGACAAACGTTCATCTATCCAAAGGAATTAGAAAAATTAAAAATAAAAATGCACAACAAAACTTATTATCCTATTTTGAATATTTGTAAAATTAAAGAGGCGGACAAAGTTGGTGGAGAAACTGGCATACCTTTAACTTTTTCAAGTAGCCTATAATACATGTCGAGGGTCTCAATGACGTATAGGTTTGAGGGGCCTGAAGGTAAAGTATATGAATCTGAATCTGAATCTGCGAGTGAGGAGAGGCATCGTCGCTGTTGCAGAAATTGAAGGTTTGGGGTGTGAAGGGAATAATAGGAGAAGGGTTTGGAAGCGGACCACCGGATATCGATTGTCTGTGGTGAAGATGGTGCGGTATTTGATACTGAAGTTAGGTTTTGGATGGGTTTCTGATGAAGATGATGAAGAAGACCTGCAGCACACGGGTGGATGTGATTGCCAAGCAACTGCCGTATCAAAACCCCTGAATTCTTCGCCATGTTGTCGGGTGTGAAATTGTATTATTTAATTAATTACCGGACTATGTTAAATGGATTGTGCTTTTAATACTCAATTCATAAATGGGCTAAATTCAAATTTTCACATTTCAAAATACAACTATTCATATATTACTTAGACTCAAACAGTTTTTTCCTTCAACCTTGACTCAAAATTTAAGTTAGTAGTTTCATTAAATTGTTTAAAAATAGTTTAACTCTATTTTTCTATTGTTGGTTAATTTTTCTTAAGTTGATTTTTGTTTATAGCTTCATAATTTATTTTTTTGAAAAACCTAAAAAAATTATAATTTCACTTAAAATTTGATTTTAATGGATTATTTAATAAATCGGTATTTATAGAATTTGGAATGAGTTTTAAAGTTGAATCTCATGTAGATTAATAAATAATATTATTTTGACTATTGGATTTAATTTGGGTCGTTGAATATAATTTTGAGATATTTAGTCATATACCCATTCTTAGCACTAAAACTATGAATAAACCCTACATCATTTAATTTCTATAAACAAACCCAAAAAATAATAGCTGACCCTATTAAATTTAATTTTGATTATTAATTATTTACTTTGGATGCCTTTTTTTTTTTTTTTTTTTTTTTTTTTTTTCTTTTGGCAGCTATAAATGGGCTGGTCTGCCGTAAGGAGCAAACTGAAGAAATCGTCCCCTGTGCTTGAGTTCAGAAATCAAGCCCTAAGGATGCTTCGAAAGAACAATAGGGCCTTAGGAAACACCTGGGTTACCTTCACCAACGAAAATAATGGCTGCTTACAGATAGATTCTTAGCGCTTACAGATGAATTTTTAGCTTGGCATGAGGAGATCGTGGCATGGGAGCAAAACAATCATGAGTTTAGCATAAACAGAGAGAGAGCTGTGAGTTCTTATGAAAAATAGGGGTCCTAAGGAAAGGGGGAAGAGATTCTAAGAGGGTTTGTTGAAGTGGGAGAGAGATGGGAGAAATAATGGGTGTGTTGAGCAGTTTCTGATAGCTTGACGAAAACTCTATCAAGTAACAGAACAGTCTGCCAAGAGGGAAAAATAGGGGGAGAAGGATGAACAGAGCACGAAATTGCTGGGTTTTGGAAGCAAGAGAGGAAGCTTGCTCTCTGGATGTGGATCGAGTGAATTTCCAGTTGCTTGACGAAGTTTGGTCGCACTCTGGATGATGATTTCTGCTGGGTAGAGGAAGCTCCCTTTTATAGGCACTTAGAACCCTAATTATGTCAATCCTCCATTCCCACTTTTCCTCTGCTTCTTTCCATTCACTCCCTTTTGGTGAAATTTCTTTAGTTCCAAGGTTTTTGTGAGTCTGGATCTTCCCATGGGGATGAGGCGCCACCTGCTTTTCTTCTTGGTTCCCCATTAGAGCTCGCAGAGGAAAGGAGAATGGATAGAGTTTTTGCCTAATGGGTATTCCTCCTACACGTACGAATTCCTTTTGGTTTTTCTGATGGCTTGCGTTGGGTTTGTCTTTGGCCATGTGCTAGAGTCTCCTAGTAGCCTGAGCGTACAAACATCTCCTGGTTTTCTATCGTTGTTTAATTTCAAACCATGTGCTGGAGATTTTTTGGATATTTTCTAAGCCACTTGGGCTATTTGGGCATTCCTAAGATATTGGGTCATCTCTTCTAGAGTATTGGGCTTTTTTATCTCCTTTATGCTTACCTACATATTTGGGCTCATAGGCTTGAGTTTTAGGGCTCCTAAGCAGCTCAAAACTTCCATTTCTCAGCTCATCAATGAGCCTCATGAAAGTTCGTTACCATCCATACCACAACCCACTCAAGTAAGCCCTGGGCATTTTGCGTGGCTTGGGCCCACTTAAGCTTGTAGCATGGCTAGGTGTAATAATAATGATTTTCCATTTGGCATTGCATGTCGTTTGGCGTGCTTGAATTTTGTCACTTTGAAGAGGGATATGACGCTTGATAATTAGTTTGGGCTTATAAAGCTAGTGCTTATTTCAACTCTTAGCATGATAAATTGTATATTTATTTGGTATGGCACGTGAATCATGACTCGTGTGAGCGTGAATGACGAACTTTCATGTGCTCCAAATCGGGTCTTTTCTTAGTAAGGCATTGCATTGGGCCGGGAATTTATTTGGGCTCAACCTTGGATTTTTGGGCCTCAAAAATGCCCTATTGAGTGTTTTTGGCTTTTTTTTATGAGGTTTTGGGGTTGAGTTTGTTCTAAGAAATCAATGATAGTTTTGTAATTTAAAAGATTATTATGTTGTGAATGGGCTTTGGGTGTGTTTCTAAAGTTCATTTCATGTAAGGTTTTTTATTTATTTTATAATTTGGGCTTCTATATTGGGTATAATAGTGAATCTCCCTATAATTTTCTTTTCTGTTAAAATCAGTCTTAGACAATCTGGGGCCGTCAGATTAAGCTTACATTTTAAAAAAATAAAATTACAAAAGCATATTAAATGTAGTCGTTGGGTCTCAATGGCTACATGAATTAAACACAACATGCGGCCAACATTTAATTGTGAGAAAAACTTGTAAATTTTTTTATTGAAACTATAGAGGATGTTTATTTAATCAATTATCTATTATTTTATCACAAAAAATTGGAATAAAAGGCATGGCATGGTGGGTTTGAGTGATTTAAGTTGATTATGTATCGACCTGACAAGCATTGTGTCTTTAGAAAATATGTAGTAATTAGTGAAAGAAAATTTAACACACCATAATTTTTTAGTTATAATAATTTACCACAATATATTTCATATGATAAGATATATGAGCTTGACAAAAAAACAAAAATAAAATATTTAAGTAACTTAGTACCATATAGAAAGAATTACTATTAAAGTTAAAACTTGGTATCACATATAATGAACAATATTAAAACTCAATAATGAAATAAATAAATACAAATAAATAAAAAAAAAAAAAAAAAAAAAAAAAAAAAAAAAAAAAAAAAAAATCTCATATCTCCAAATAATAAAATAATAAATATCAACATCTGCCTAAATTTATCATTAGGGATTTTTTTTTAATGGAAATTTATTCTAGATAATATTAGCTTGCAGAAATTTTAAAGACCATATAAATATTACACGTCATAACTTTATTAACAAACTCATTTGCGGCGTGTTGGATAAGGCCCAATAGATGGATGGGAAAGAGAGGGGTTCAAATCCCCCATTGTTGGCAAAATTGCCATTTCTCAAAAAATTTCATTTATTTTTCATAAATGATTTATTTATTGTTTTAGTTTAGCATAAATGCTCCCTCTTGATATAAAATAGGCTTAAAGCATATACAATCATGCTACCTATTTTTTAGTTAAAATTTAGCTAAAAACACACAAAAGTTATTTTATGAACTCTCTATAAAATTTTAACTCCAGTCATACTCCCTAGTTTAGGTAGTCATAAATACTATAGTTATTTTTTAATTCAATATAATTGGTCTATCTCTATAAAAAGAATATATATAATTAATATTAATTAAAAGTTTAAACTATGCATAAAACAAGGCAACATTAAATTATTAGGAGCTAGTAAGAGTCTTTTCTCTCTCCTCAGATTTAGGAGCACATAGAGGTCTTTTTATTTTAGGAGGTGAATAGGAAAATGGTTGGAGTTGTATTTTTCCAATTCCTCCCTAAAATTTATATAAGAAAGTGGTTTAGGGATCCTATTGTAGATGCTCTTATTTACTATAGTACCCCCTGAAACTTTGGTTAAATCTCACTTCCCCTTGAAAGTTAATGTGACCTACTTAACCCCCTTGACTATGGTTTTGTGTTCCACTTTACTCCCTACCATCAACTCCATCCAAAAGTATGTTAAAATTTATGGCGTGATAGGGGTATTTTAGTTATTTTCAACACATGGGATATTTACCCACTAATCTGATCAGGCAAATTGGATCCCACATCCAGCATGGACAAAAAAAAAAATTAATTACAAAATTACAAAATCAATTTCCCAACCTTCCTGAGCAGCACCAACCCAACCCTAGCCGTTTCCCCATCCCAACTCTCGCCCACCAACCTAACTCTAGCCCTTCCCCTATAGTCCTGCACTTCCTCTTCTTCTCTTTCTCCTTTTCCAGCCAACAAGGTACATTCATTCAAGAAAGATTGCGCCAAGCTCGATCCAAGATGAAGAAGCTCGCCGGCCTCCTCCTCTAAGCAGCGAGTGTGAGCCACGAGCTTTAAGAGCGCCCCATGCGCTGCATCATTGATGAGGGTTAACCCATCTCAATGGCCTCAAGCTCTTCAATCATCTTTTTCAAATCCAATTTTTCAACCACAACACCAACACCAACACCAACACCACCACCAATTTTTCAACCTGACGTCATCAACATAAAAAAATTAAAAATTAAAAATTATATTAAAAATGGGAAAATATTTAGAAATATTTTTCTATACATACCTAGCAATTTTTTATTATTATTAATCTCATACATATAAATAAAATTAATCCCATATGAATATTAATTGCTCTTGGGTTGCCATGGCAATGGCTGGAAAAATAAAATAAAAAAGGGTAAGGTAATCACTATTCATGTGAATAGTGTCTGCCCTTACCCTTACCATGACACCATGGGTGGAAGTGCTTTAAGGATGTTCCTTGGTGGACCATGGAAGGCATGGGTGTTAAAGTTGTGGGATTTGAGGCTGTCCAAGGACCAGTGGGGGATATGACTGAATGAGGGAATTCTGCCAAGGAAAATGGGAAATTGGATTAAGGGAATGATCCCATAAATTATTGAAGAATTTTAAATAAATAGTTTGATCTGTTGTTATTCGATGGAACACTAAACACAATATAACTTAGCTTATTTTCGAGGGCATTAAGTGGTCGTTGGAATTAATTTTTCTATTTGCGAGGGTATCTTCATGTTGTCGAAAATTATAGCCTATTTTTTAGGGCAATAAGTGGTTATTATTGTAATTGATTTTTCTATTTGCGAGGGTAATTAGTTGTTGTCCGAAGTGATTATGTACTTTTGAGGGCAATCATTAATTCTCGCAAAAGGATGTCTATTTGCGAGGGTCATAATATGAATTTTTCTGATTTTATCTGTTGTGGCTATAAGAGGGCAACATGTGTCATTTTTTATTGTGTTCTATCTTAAATAATTCATAAGAAATTAAATAAAACTCAGAAAAATATACCAAAAATTGCTATAGTCTCCTTACGACATAGCCTTCAATTATGTAGATCTAAAATCATGATTGCACATATTTGAATTCATGGGAATCATTGGATCAAAGAATCAGGATTGTATGTGATAGAATGTTTTGATTTGTCTATGAATAATGTTGAGTTTTTATTATTCTGATTTTTCTGAATCAGATGTTGCACATTGGAAGGTTAGAGCCATTACGTCATCTATTGCAGTATTCTCATCCTTCTTTACCATTACCCGCATATGTCTTGGAGTCAGCAGATCCCTTGCCACTCCAACACCTACTGTGAGCCTCAGAAAAATTTCCAAATATTTTTATTAAGATCACTATAAAAATTTCCTGAATATATGAAGTTGAAATTTTGGTATTTTTGATGTCATTGAAAAATAGCAGATGTCCATACTAGCATGTGGTATTTTTGGGAGAATTTTCGGAACTCGGAAGTATTTTTGGTGAATTTTTGAAGTTGGAATATAGGAAAAATTAAATAGAGTTGACGCATCACCGCCACATGGCAGCATGTGATTGGCTGGTCCAACTCAATATTGAATTTGACTTTTGACTCAAAATTTGACTAGTTTCTATAGTACTATTCCGTGAGCTCATTTCATCTGAACTATTGATCTAATTCTAGATCAGATCTGGACATTTGATCAAATCGAAGACTTTTGATTGGATCTGGACCTTCAGATGGGTAGGTAGGAATGCATATGGATGAATGACCATTCATCTTAAAGATACCATGAACCTTTCCACACTTGATCCAAACTCAGTTTTTGACTTGAGCCATCCGTTTCACACAAGCTTTTCTACTTTTATATGGTCTTTAATCCACTTAGTTTGGATATTAATCTTCATTTTGTTGGTTGAGATTTGGAGTTCATGATTTGTTGGGATTTTGAGTTCGGAGGAAGAAGGAAAAAATATTGGGTCCAATATCAGTTAAATCAAGAGATTTTTATTTTTATTTTTCAAAATGATGATTAAGTGTTTCTTCGGGCAATGAAATTGAATTTTGTGGGACTTATTTGTGAAGAGCATATGGTTTACAATAAAATCTAATCCTTCTATCAAAGTATTTCGAATTATGATTTACCTACCCACAAAGAGAACAGATTTGCTTACCATAAATTCTTCAGTGATTTCATTTGGGATGATAAAGAACCATAATTTGATGATCATCCCCTAATTTTCTATAATCTAATGGACACAATTAATTACACCCAAGTTTTCTTAAACAACCAACTTCATGCAGCATTATGAATACTCGTTTGAAATTAGCAAATCATGTGCTTTGGCCATTCTGCTGTATAGAGGCCTGTACCTTTCCATATTTGCACAAAGCATATGTACCCAGTAGCCTGATGCATTTGTAGACATTTTCTTTCCATAAACTATACCAATCCAAATTCTGTACACATCCAAAATGAAACCACATACCTCACTGCATTTAGAGCCACTTTCTTCTTCTCTCTCACACAATTAATTTCCATGATACATATACTGGTTAAGGATGCCCGACTTGGGTTTGTTTGTTTCTCTGCTTGTATTTGCTTTAATAAAAGCATGGCTGGCAGAAGCAGTCGATTGCATGCATGAGCTTCCTCCTAGGCCCTACTGCATTTGCACCCATATCTTTGAGCTTCTTCATGGTCAGATTAACTAACTGAAATTTAGTGAGACCCTTCCTCTGGAAAATCCTAACAAACTGCCCCAGTCCTAGTGACGCTAGCCACCGGCTTAACCCGCCAGCTTTCTGAAGCTTCCTCTCAAGATTCAGAGCTCTTAGCCTTTGGTTCAGCAACATTCCCTGATCAAGGAAAATACACGGTCCATGTGATCGCCTTGGCTGCAAGATAGCTTTTGAGGTTTTGGATACTCCCAGAGTTCTATGACATTGAGAAGAAACTATTTGATCTTGATTTCGTAATTCCATTCTTAAATCTCGCCCAAATGACTTGGAAAATGTCAAATTGTGTTTAGCAGGAGGACGTTTTCTAGTAAGTTGAATACCCCTTTTAGGAGCAAGATATTCAATCTTCTTTCGCTCATGAATTGAAGCCGTTTTGGGACACGTCTCAACAGGTAATTGTGATCCATCGCCTGCCACTTCTGTGGCCACAGGTTGCAGCTGAATTGGTCCTGAGTTTGGTGGTGGAGATTTATTAGCAACAGGCAGCGGAGGTATCAGAATTTTGACTCTCTGCTTTTTAACTATCACCCAACTATCTTGCAGATCAAGATCATTATCGGAGTTTGAAGACTCAATTAGACCACTGGGAGTATTATTCTTGTGCAGGGCAACCACCAGCTGTCTTTGCCTTTTCTTTGCCATCAGCAGAGAACCTGCTTGTGAAATTAAACGTTGATTGGATAAAAAACCAATGAGATCATTGTTGAAGGCAAATACGACCAGACAATTGAACATATACTGCTCAAACTCTAGCAGCTGACGACCAAACAATAATTATCTTACACAAAACAAAAATGAAAAGAAAAAAGCTGCTTTTACCAAAAATGTAACAAACAAATAGCAGGACTTCACATATTATCTGAATTGGAAACTGGGTTTAAAATTCCCCTCCTTATCTTTAGCATTTAAGACACAACTGCAATATAATTAAAACAAGTAACAAAAATAACTATGAACTCTACGCAACTCCTATGAATCCCTACAGAAGACCACTGGGTACATAATCTCTTAGCATGTAAAAGTTTTCCCTTGTAAAAGATTCTCAGGGCTACAATTTGTTCATATCAGAATTCAGAAATAAAGTCGAGAAAAAATTTCGACAATACTATAACTATTATAAGCAGCAAGCAGTGCATCATTTCTGGTTATTGAGCTAGTATTAAAAAATAGGTGTAACAACAAAGGAACAAAATTGAAATTTTTTGTGTGCCCAGCCTTGTTTTCAGATGAACTAAACCACTCAACTATCAATTCTCTCCTTCCCCTAACACATCAGAGAGCATCGGATAAAAAGATTAATCTTGATATTCTTTAGATTTCCCAAGAAACCAAATATGACCCAAACACCAAAACAACAGGATCTTAATTTGTTGGTAATTTGTACAAAACTGAATTGTTTATGCCTACTGTCTTGTTTGGATGGAAGAAAACTTAAGCGAAATAAAACTTCTGTTTTGGATTATAGCCTCAAGTCTGGCTCAAGAATCAACATTTATCTAAACCTAGCCATCCTCAGAACCCAAACAATCCCAAAAGTTACTGAAACATTGAACAATACTTGCACAAACAGATAGTGCAACTAAAAGAGTAGTGGGCAATTTGAAAAAGAAAGAACAAGAAAAAACAAAGAGGAAATTTACCAGTAGAGACAGCTGAAGGAGGCGTTGATACAGAAGCAGCTGATGGGTAGGCGGTTGTTTCTCTGAGGAAGCCTTCTGGGTCCTCTGGACTTGGGTGGATCTCAGATCAAACGGGTTTGGGTTGGTTGGGCGGGTGGGTTTGAGTTTTCAGTTGGGTTCGCAGCTGAAGCCTGAATTTTTTGGTTTAGGGGAAGAGCAAGTCTCTGTGGATCCTCTTCTGTCGATAGCAGGAGGGGCTCGAACCGAGTTGAGGGAGTGATCATGTAGCAAGCGCGCATGGACGAACTACAATTGTCAATCGATGTGGGGGATTCAGAGACCCACGTCAATAAGCCATTAAGATTTGGGGCATTTTGGATTCAGCCCGTACAAGAGTCGTATTATACCGACGTATTTTTCAGTAGTTAGACAATAATATCCTCATTCATTTTCTAAATTGCCTTAGAGCACTTTTACCCACAAGGGCTAAGTCTAAGGCAAGGGCAAGTAAGGGCTGCCACTATTCATGTGAATAGTGTCAGCCTTGCCATTTGTAGTTCCACCCATGAGGGCTAAGTCTAGGGCAAGTCTAAGGCAATTACTATTCACTTAAATTTATTTTTTATTTTTTATACTTAAAACATTGATTTTGATAAGCTTTTCGGATAAGATTTTCAATTCCCAAGTGTTAATATTTATCATAAAATCCTCACTTAAAAATCAAGATAACATTTTTGGATAAAATTTTGAAATTAAATTGGTGTGTAAAGTGAACATATTGGTAGGTATGTATAGAAAAAATTTCCAAAATTTTTTGATAATTTAAAAAAAATTTTGATACTTTTTTCAATTTTTTTTAGCCAAAAATTGGACAACTGTTGGATTGTGCAAGATTTTTTATCGGAAGCTCCAAGAGAAGCCACATGGCTTGTAACCATTGGGCAATGTGGACTGGTGGGTCCAAAAGTAAAAAAAATTTGAAAATCAGCTGCTAACGTCATGCTGACGTCAGCAGCCCGAGGTTTGGTGCCCAGGCAAGATTAGCTCGTGGGCTTGTGGGTCCCACGCCTTGCTCGGGTTGGATTTCCTGCGCTGGAGGTCTCTTGGGCTCGCCAGGGCTGCCTTTCCCCGAGTTTGGGTCTGGCGCTGGAGATGCTCTTAGAAGGCTTCTTGAAATGGCTGCAGAGAACTTCTTCCTTTTGCTTTCCGTATAGTGCCAAATCATGGATCATCCTTCCAAGCAGGAATGGCAACGGGTCGGGTAGGGGCCAAATATGACAATATTATCTCTGTCCCCGCTCTCTATCCCTGCCCCCATCTCCGAATCCATTCCCATTTAATAGGTTTCAGGTATTAAAAAACTAGTATAGCCGTCCGGGTGTACTCCATTTTTAATTGTTTTAAAACCAGTATAGCCGCATGGCTATACTATTTTACATGTGGGTATAAAAACATAGTATAGCCGGGCGGCTATACTTATTTTTACACGTGGCACCTAATTGATAGATGGTATTCTTTTTTTTTTAAAATGGTACAGCCGCACGGCTATACTTCGTGTTTTTTATTTTTTATTTTAAAAATAGACTTCTGTTGACACGTGACACCTATCGCTGGGGGGTCCCTTTTTTATATTAAAAATAGTACAGCCGGCCGGCTATACACATTTTTTATTAAAAAAAAAATTAAACAATGTAGCCGTAGGGCTATACTATTTTACATGTGGACGCCTTTGCGCCCTTAAGAGTACAGCAGAAAAAATTTTTTTTCAAAAATTAATCGCTGTGCGATGTTATTGTTTTTTTTTAAAAAATATTGTCTTTATTAAATAGTTTAGATGAGCGGCTATATATATATATATATGCGCACATACATTTTTCAATAATACATTAGTGTTCTATACACATCTCAAGTTTTTTTAATAAGCAAACATAAAATAGTCGTATTGTACATGTACGCACGTATTTCTAACATTTAATACACGTGTTTTTTACAAAATTTTCCATAAGACACACAAAATTCGCGTATTATACAAATAATTCTCACATATTATTGAATAAGAATAACATATGTTATAAAAAATATATTGAAATATTATATAGTGGAAGATTAATATCTACTTTGGATTTGTTGAAACTAGCAAATTAAGATCTATAAAGTACAAACTAATGCAAATAGGAGGGTCCTTTTTAAAAATAAAAAAAAATAAAAAAAATTAAATCGTATAGCCGGGCGGCTTTGCCTTTAAAAAATAATGTATTTAAATAGTTTAGCCGCGAGGCTATAAGACGATTTTTTATTTTAAAAAAATAGTATAGTCGGGTGGCTATACGTATTTTGACACGTGGCACCTAATCGATAGAGGGTATATTTTTTTTATTTTTAAAATGGTACAGCTGAACGGCTAACGGCTATAGTTTGTTTAAAATTTAAAAAAAAAAAAAAAAAAAAAAAAAAAAAAAAATTTTGTTGACATGTGGTGCCTATCGCTGGGGGGTCCACTTTTTTTATATTAAAAAATAGTATTGCTGCCCTGCTATACGCATTTTTAAAAAACATTTTAAATAGTATAGCCGTGCAACTATACTCAATTTTTTCTATTTTTTTTTTTCAAAAATCGTATAGCCGTGAGGCGTTACTTTTTTTAATTTCTTTTTAAAAAATTATCTTTATTAAATAGTATAGACGAGTGGCTATAGGCTTTTACACACACACACATATATATATATATATATATATACACACCTATATTTTTCAATAATACATTAGTGTTCTATATACGTCTCACTTTTTTTAATAAGCAAACATAGAATAGTCGTATTGTACATGTACGTACATATTTTTAACATTTAATACACATATTTTTTACAAAGTTTTCAGTAAGACACATAAAATTCGCGTATTATACAAATAATTCTCACATATTATTGAATAAGAATAACATATGTTATAAAAAATATATTGAGATATTATATAGTGGAAGATTAATGTCTACTATGGATATGTTGAAACTAGCAAATTAAGATCTATAAAGTACAAACTAATGCAAATAGGAGGGTACTTTTTTTAAAATTTTAAATTTTAGTAAATAGTATAGCCAGTTGGCTTTACTTTTTAAAAATAATGTATTTAAATCGTATAGCAGGGCAGCTATACTTATTATTGACACGTGGAGCCTAATTGATAGAGGGTATTCTTTTTTTCTAATTTTTATAAAAATACTTCTATTGACATGTGGCGCCTATCGCTGAGGGGTCCACTTTTTTATATTAAAAAAATAGAACAGCCACTACCGGGCTATACTCATTAATTTTTTTTTAAAAAAAAAACTGTATCGTAGTATGACTATACTATTTTACACGTGGGCGCATTTGCGCTCTTCAGGTTATACTCGATTTTTTTTTTCTAATTTTTTTCAAAAATAGTATAGCCGTTCGACTCTACTGTTTTGTTTTTTTTTTGGACATGTGGGACCTAGTAGATAGAGGGCATTCTTTTAAATAATAATAAAAAAAAGTACAGCGACATGGCTGTACTTCATGTTTTTAATTTGTTTTGAAAACATAGACTTCTGTTGACACGTGGTGCCTATCGCTGGGGGTTCCAATTTTTTATATATTAAAAAATAGTATAGCCGACCGGCTATACTTATTTTTAAAATTTGTTTAAAACAGTATAGCCGGGCGGCTCTACTGTTTTTTAAATAAAATTAATTTTTTTAAATGGTCTTTATTAAATAGTATAGAGGAGCAGCTATAGGCTTTTACATATATATATATATACACACACACACACACATAAAGTGCAAACTAATGCAAATAGGAGGGTCCTTTTTATTTATTTATTTATTTATTAAATAGTGTGGCCGGGTGGCTTTACCTTTTAAAAATAATATATTTAAATAGTATAGCCATTTGGCTATACGACGATTGCGAGTATAGCCATGCGGTGATACTCCATTTTTTTCTAATTTTTTTAAAAATAGTATAGCCGGCCGGTTTTACGGATTATTATTATTTTTAAATT